AATAAATTAAAAAAAATTTTTTTGATAAAAAAAAATAAACGTTCTTACATTTTCTAAAATTTATTTAAAAATTTACTGAATATTAAATATATATAAATATTAAATTTCTCTTTGTAAAAAACGCATATTCTTGACGTATAATATTTTGAATAATAAAGTAGATTTTATACTTGTAAGAGTATGAAAATAAAAAATTTATATCTTTACTCTTTTTTTATTCACCCTCGCGCATAGATAAGGGATATCGTACTATCTTTTATGCATTTATAAACATTGTCTTCGCATCTGATGTTATCTATCGATTCTCGTCCTTCGAATCCAAGCATCGTCCTAAACCAGCTACGGCTTTTTTTAGCTCCTCTCCTTTCGGGATACATATCAGATCCCCATAAACCATCGTTGGTTGAATTATCCGCGGCGGTTGCTTTACTACCATCTCTCTTTCCGTCATCATCCACCTTTTCATTCTTCATTGTCATCGTCGTACAAAATAGAAAACCGACGCGATACAAATAAATCGATATAAATAAATATTAATCACACTATAACTTATCGTATTATCAGTCAAATATTGATGTATTTTAATACAGTAAGGTTTATTTTTTAATTTGAGGTTATAACAAGTTACGTCACTCGCACTTCGCACAGAATTCGGAGCGGCTGGCCACGCTGCCGTTTTCTAACTAGTATAGTGGCGCTAACTGGATCCATTTTAGAGCCGGCGGAACTACCGGAACTAAAATGGCCAGATACACTTTTTGATGCCATGGTAAAACGACTGGTCACATATGGATCAAAAATGCGGAGAAATATTATGGATTTATTAATGTTTTATTAAAAAATAAAAAAAAAGAGAAATTATAGAAAAATTAATAATTTGAAAAATGGCGCGCTCGGTTTCTTTTGCACAGGTGCTAAATACTTTTGCTCATGCGTTCAATTTCTTGATATCCTGCAAAATGCATAAAGCAATTATTAATTTTTTTTAAATGAATACTGTAGATAATTAGTTTTTAAAGATGGAGTAAATTCAAACAAAAATGAAGCAGTTTTTCTATATTTTGAGAATTTACAAATTCTAATAATCTTTGCTTATATTGATATTTACATTGTTATTAACTTCATTATTTATTTGTAAAAAAAAATAAAATGGAGCAAAATATGAAAAATGAATATTATGAAAGAGCAAATTAATCTGATTATTTTCATGTGTCATAAGTTTAATTACTATATAGGTCACTGACTGGGAGTTTAGTAGACTATGGGTTCTTTAAACGGCTTATTACGGTTTTTGAAACGAAGTGAAAATTACAAAAATGAACAGATTTACTAGATTTCGACGAATGAAATTGTAGATACTCTAGTAAATTTTCTCATTTTTGTAATTTTCATTTTGTTTCAAAAACCGTAATAGGCCCCATGAACGCACCCATTCACGCCTATCAAGGTATCAAGTTTTCAAAGGGGCGGATATTTAGAAAACAGCTGTTCGGTGGACATGTTTATCGCGCCGCGGATGCACTGGGGATGCTTACTGATTGCTTCCCGTCATCATCGACTAGCGAGATAACGCGGTGGAAATAAAATGTGATCGCGGAATGCGGGACGCGGATCACAGTCGGATCACGAGAGCGCGTTTGGTGCCGCGAAAGCCGAGGTGGCTACACACACGGGTTATGTTTTGACGATCCGCGCGTAAAATAAGATCATGGCACAGTGTAAGTTAACCCCGCGAGAGTTTATCGGCAATGCTTTCTCCCCGCAGATCGCCGTAGTCTGCTCGACCGCAGCCGACGCTGCGTGCCAAAAGAATAATCTGTCATTCGTCGAGTTGCTTCAACCCTTTTGCAAATTGAACACCGAAGGTAAGCCCTACCTATATCACATCTGTTCGCTGAGGACACTTGTACATTATCAACGCGTCCACCGTTAAGAAACTTATAATTTAATTGATATTTTCTTATTAATTATGTATCAACTTCTCACTGCGCGTGTCCATTAAAATTTGAAACTAGATATTCTAAGATCTGTATGTATATTAAAAGCAGTGTACACTTTCACAGGTCATTTTAAAGATCCTCAAGGAAACACTGTGGCAATTAGAAATCTTCGGCTTTCTATACAAGATATCAATGCGCGACCACCGGAACCGACTCTTGCCAAGAAGATGTTGAACGAAGCAGTTAGTTCTACTTTATGCGAACGCACAACCACAGTTTGCATTGGCTCGACTGAGTTGGATGTACCCATTTCTGTACCTTGGTTTGAAGCATGGAGAGAAACGTTTCTCAACGTCCAATTTCCATCGGATCATGAATTTACAAAGCACTTGCTTGCGTGTATGATAGTTGTTTCTACAACAGAGGACAATCCGTTAGAAAAAATTCAGACCATGGGAGCGCAATTGCATCAAAATGTGTCAGGAAAATTACCTAAGTGGTTCAATAATAACGCTCTTAGATATTACATCTTAGTTCACGACGCTATTCAGGATGATAGAAATAAGTAAGTATATATCTTTTCTTCTTTTATAAGTTCACAAATTATTTTTTGTCACCAATGTTCCCACAATTCTCAATTAAAAGATAACTGACAGCTTTTTTACTAGACAAAAAGAAATATGTATATGTATAACATATATGTATATACCTTTCAGAGCAGAAATAGTTTTTACAGAGATGAAGACTATTTATGGCGCTAACAATTGTTTTCTATTACAAATGAATTCGAGACCGCCAGGTCTTTCCGATGACAATACGCACTTACCTGATCCATGGAGTCAGTTTTTGACAAAACATTCAGAATTGTGTGGCAACAGCGAACAAAATAGCTCACCTCGTACACCCGCGGATACAAGTGGGCTATCGGCCATGCCGAGCGAGCTGACTACAGAGTCTGATAAGTAAGTTCTTATTTTTGTTGTTTATACATAGTACATTAGCACAAAAGCTTTAGATTGTTTATGTTAATATATTTATAGTTTATGAATACAATATTTTCTGTTACAGAACGAGTCAAGCTGGGACCCCGCTAATGCCACATAATTCTATTACATTGCCGTCTTCGGATTTGACGCAATTAATCTCCGGGATTGACACAGTTAACTTTTCTTCTGAATTATCTGAATCGGCAAATATACAATTAGAAGTTGGACAAGAAGCAGTTCCTGTTACAATTCATCCCCTCAGTCCAAACGATGAGAAATTGCAAAATTTCATTTCTGCGACTAATGTCAAGGGTCAATCTGTTACTTCTAGCTCACCAATAAATACAAATGTCTGGGCGGATTCTCCGAATTACGTGA